GCAGCATTTGCAGGCAGAGGAAGATAGGTACAGGCTAAGGCCAGCAAGAAGAGGCAAAAAACTGATGGGTGCACTAAGTGATCAGCCAATCCACCGAGAAACAACTGCAGACTTTCGATGCAAGATTCTGGTCCTCTGGGATGGGCCTGATCCCTCCCAGGCCAGATACTAGCCCAGATTGCCCATTCTAGAAAAGTGGGAGCTGGATCCCAAGAAGAGAAGGAGGCAGGGTTGGCGGGAGAAGAAGAGAGAAAGAATATGTCAGGGCCTTGGGATAGAGGAATATTCCAAGGGAGGAGGAAGAAAACCAGCCCAGGTCCCCAGTGGAGGCCCAAAATGGGACAGTCAGGAATCCAACAGCCCCCCTCTGTGCCTGAGTGCCGAGTGTCCTCAGGTGAGCAGAAGAGGCAAGAGGCTGCAGAGAAGAGGGGATGGGCTCAAAAGAGGCCTGGTGGAGGTGAGCCAGCAGGGGCTGCGAGGGTGCTGGACCAGGAACGGTAGTGAGCCAGCAGCCAGCGTTGGCATTCACTCTGGGTGACATTCTGAGCATTCAAAGAGCTGCAAGTGCAAGCACTCGGGCCTTCGCACTCCCAGATATCAGTGACAGTGGGCAGCTGCCCTTGCCCGAGTCAGTCCAAAGAAGACAAGAAGGCAGTCTAGGAGCACGCCTCCCCCCGCCCTGCGTCCCTAAGTTGGGGGTGGGAACCCTTAAGTTTGGAGGCGCTGTACTGTCCCTTGGAGTGAGCGGTCGTTACGCTATAGACTGACGGTCCTTGCAGCTCAGGTCGCTCGAATGACTGCATTAGAAACGCCCCCTGCACGACTACCGCAGTGACAAGGCCTCACACTGCTCCGGTGTGCACCGACCGCGTGAGGCCTCTGGGTTCGGACATCGCCCGCCGGAGTCCTCCAGCCGTTTCCTCCCGCCCCTCTCCGGGCTGCAAGAAGAAGCTGAGGCAGCAGTGCTGGGCAGAGGCGCCCGTTCTCACTTTATTCCGACATCCCGTCTGGGAAGGCGGGTGGCACGCAGGGCGCACGGATCCTGCGCCCCACAAGGGCGCCCGCAGCCCGCCGAAGAAGGCCCGGGAGGGGCTGTACATCTTCTTCCCACCCCAACCCCCCTGCCCCGATCGCCTTTAGGGCCAAATTCAAAGAAGCCTCGGAAAGGCTAGGTCTGTTTTGCTGACCAAATCGCCTTGTTAGTTGCTTCCGCCTGCCAAGGTTCGAGCGGGCGCCGGCCTTCTCGCCGGGTGGTCATCTCCAAACGCAACGCCGGGAGCGACGCAGCCCAGCCCTGCGAGGACCGCCTAGACCTTGAAGTTTGTAAAAACAACAAGAAGAGATTGAAAGGGCTCCCTCCCTTCTCCGCAGACACACGCACTGTCAGGCCGCCGCCACTTCCTGCCTTTGTTTTTCTTCCTCCAAAACATTTTTGGCCTCTTGGATTAGCCTCCGTGGGGCTCCGGGTTGACGATAAAAGGAAATGCGCCGAAGACTGTTTTCTGGAGATGGCCCCGCGCTGTGCGCGCTCCTGAGAAAGAGCGGCTCATGGGAAACCGGTCGCCAGGGCCAATGTCACGCCCTGCCAGCCGCGGCCTCTTCAAGAAATGCAAGTCGGACTTGGCCTTCCGGGGCAGCCTTAGCCTCTGTCAGGTTTTCCCCGGAGCTCGGTGCACTCAGCTCGGTGGTTGGGCCTCCTGCAAAGCGGAAGAGTCAATTAGGCTAAGAGCAAAGTCAAATCCAAGGACCCGAGCTCTGCCTCCCCTTCTTCCCCAAGATTTGGTCTGGTCCTCAGAGCTGCGCCCTTCTCTGTCCCCCAGCCCGCCTGCCTCGCGAAACAGGCACATCAGTACATTCCGGACTAGACGGGCAGGAGCGGGCAAAACTGGGAATGGTGCCCAGCCTTGGAGATCTGAGCACTCCTTCCTGTCCCTGCTGGGGAACTAAAAGCATTCGGCCGCTCCAGGAATTTTCTTTTCTCCTGGCATCAAAAGCCTTTTCCTCATTCACCTTCAGGGCAGCGCCCCCAACCTCCCCCCTTCCAGGCTGCAAGTCCCTTGGGTACACCACCACGGCACAGCTTCCCGAATTGCCCCCCCCCCCCCGCTCCTGGAGCACCTTCCTTCGCCCCAGCCTTTCCTCGGGAATCCGCCTTTGTCTCCTGCAGACACCCATGGGATCCAAACCTGCCGGCACCCTCTTGGCTTGGCCTTCCAGGAAGACAGGGAGGCATAGGTTAGGTGGAGCAGCGCACACTCCCATACATACCTTTCTGCGGTGACCCCCTTCTCCTGGCACCAGGGGAAAATGATCTAATTAGGAGAGGGGCTGCAAGCAACCTGGGGAGGCTGCTTGGCGTCCCTGACTGGCCGACAGGCCACTGCTGTCTGCTCAGGCACAAGCTGAAGTTGACTGCCAAAACTGCTATAAAACCGTAGGTCTGTCTAGAACTGTTTTCAGTTCTCTTAGACGCCCCCGGGTTCAATTATGGTCTTAAAAGCCCTAATACAAGTGCAATAATTTGTTTGCCTTCACCCAGGGGTGGGGCGAGCCCCCGCAGTGGTGGCGCCTTTGTTATGGCAAAGTCACTGAAACCTCTCATGCATTCCTTTTGTTCGAGGGTCGGGGTGGCGGGGACTGGGTGGGCTGTTGGGAGACAGTTTGAGATGGCCAAAATCAAGCCAGGGACCAGCCCAAGTTCTGCTGTTAGCAAACCTCTCCTCTCTTCTATATTCTGTCTCCAAGAAAGAGATGCTGTGGAGAAACAGATATTTTGCCCGGTTGGTTGCTGCTGGAAATCAAAGTGTTTTTGTTTTTGTTTTTTCTTGCTGCAGGGCAATCCTGTAACTATGACTCCTAGCTTTAGGGGGTCTCAGCTCCCCTTTCTCCAACAACCTTCCTTCCTACTCACAGCACTGCTACCCTCTGCACAAGCCACAGTGGGCAAGTACGTCAAGCTGAAGATGCTCAAATAATTTCAACTTCATCTCCCAGGGATTCAAGGGGCATGAAAGTCCTTGCAGCAAATCCCGAATAAAGAGTTCATCAAACCGATGTGTCTGAGTAGCTTGATTTGTGATAAGCAACCCTTGTAAAGGGAGGGAGGGGAGCCATATAAACATTAATGCTAATAAATTAGTTTACTCCACTACAGAGTAATTACCTGATATTATTCATATTTACAGCAGGTATTCAAATGCAATGGTGGGCCATCATTTGGGAAAAATACATAATGAGACCATTTCTTTTCCGGTGCAATACACGATTAGATTTGTTATTGAGTCAGTTACAGTCAGCTCAGCAATAAATAAATAAATCGATGTTGACACTTAAATACCAAAGATCTTAGAGTTTATACGTTAAATCTCGCCACGATATGTAAATACCTTCTGCTATTTCCTGGACAGGGAAAGGGAAAACGTTATCCTTTTTCATTTTTCAACTTTCTCTCAGCAATAGGCCAGCCAAACTCCTTCGAAGAAAAGCGGTGTGGGGAGGCCTCAGGGCTGGGCCCCCTCCCCGCTCCGAGCTCTGCCTGGCTGCTCTGTGCCCTTTCGCTTGTTTGGCTTCCCCCAAACATGGTTCATTCAGTCTTGCAGGACCGTGAGCATTTTTCTGCTTCTCCTCTTCTGTCAGTCTTTCTTCTTTTCAAGAAAGCTATCCTCATCCCAGCCGCTATAACATCTGTCTCTATCTTTTGCTGGAACCCAGCCTTTCTGAGGGGTCCTTGTTGCCCAACGTGCAGGAGTTTGGTAATCACTTCTCTCTCCTTTGGCATCGTGTTCATTCTGTGGGATGAGTAGTAGGAAAGGCGCGCAGCCGTCTGAGTTTCTGCCCTGCACATCCTCGGCTTTCACTCTCAATCTTTTCAAGGAAGGAGAGGCGGCTTGTGACCCATTTCTCAGCCATGGCTCCCTAGCCCTCACCTCCTCTTTGCTGCCCCCACTCTCCCTGCAGCCCTGGGGTTCCGCAAGCAACCTGGGGAGCACCCCAGAAGGTGCAGCATACCCAGGAGATGGCTCCTCGGATGTCAGCGCCTCTAAAGCAGCCCCAGGCTCGCGTCAACTGCGTTGTTTCCCGAGTCCTCGGCGCCAGAAGACTAGGCGGGCGGGCGGGCGGGTGCGCAGCATCGCAGCCCCAGTGCCTCTGGCTCTGCCTAGGGACTCCGAATCCCAGTGGGCAGCGAGAAGGAGGAGGCTGCTCCAAGGGGAGGAGGAAGTGAGAAGAACGGCAGCGAGGATGAAGGGAGAGGGGGATCCCGGGTGAGACGAATGTCCTTCCGGGCCCTGCGGATCCCGGGCAAACCGCGGGGGAAGCCGCCCAGGCTGTTGGCGGTTTAGGGACGGAAGGTACTAAAGCGCTTCGGAAGTGACCATGAATGAGAGCGTGTAATCAAGTCACCGTGCAAATCGGGCAAGCCACGAGGCCGGCACATCCACGGCTGCGAACCCTGGCCCCAAAGGGGGTCCGACCAGGGTCGCAGGCAGAGGTGGTTCCCTGAGCAAGCCTGTGCAGGGGGTGGGTGGGGGGACGAAGAAGGGGGCGCGAACGCGAGACTCCGGGTGAATAGGCACCGAGACCACGGGCTCCCACCCGACCACCCCCAGCCTGGGGCATCCCTCACCCGAGGGAGGGGCGGGCGTTGAGCTCTCTCACCGCCCTCGGCGCCACTTGAGGGCCGGGACCAGGCAGCTGAGCGCACCCCATCCTCGCCGCGCGCCTGGAGGCCCCCAGCCAACATGAGTTACACCGGCGATTACGTGCTTTCGGTGAGAACATCGAGTGATGATCTGTTGCTTCCCGAGGTGGCTACAAAGAAAGGAAGCCGGGGAGGGAGGGTGGGGGGGAAAGGAAAGGGAAAAAAAAGGCCAGGACTAGCTCGCAGCTTGTCAATTTCAACATCGGGTCACATGACCAGCACCTCCCTGCTAAGGATGGGGATAGATTTCCACGTCAGCTTACGTCTCCAAATTTCTACTTCACGGATCCGCTTCAAAGAGGCAGCTGCAGTGGAGAATCATGTTAAGCTCGGCTACTGCGGAGAGCCCCAGGTAGCCCAATGATGGATTTTGATGAGCGTGGTCCCTGCTCCTCTAACATGTATTTGCCAAGTTGTACTTACTACGTCTCGGGTCCAGATTTCTCCAGCCTCCCTTCTTTTCTGCCCCAGACCCCGTCTTCGCGCCCAATGACATACTCCTACTCCTCCAACCTGCCCCAGGTCCAACCCGTGCGCGAAGTGACCTTCAGAGAGTACGCCATTGAGCCCGCCACTAAATGGCACCCCCGCGGCAATCTGGCCCACTGCTACTCCGCGGAGGAGCTCGTGCACAGAGACTGCCTGCAGGCCCCCAGCGCGGCCGGCGTGCCTGGCGACGTGCTGGCCAAGAGCTCCGCCAACGTCTACCACCACCCCACCCCCGCCGTCTCGTCCAATTTCTATAGCACCGTGGGCAGGAACGGTGTCCTGCCACAGGCTTTCGACCAGTTTTTCGAGACTGCCTACGGCACCCCGGAAAACCTCGCCTCCTCCGACTACCCTGGGGACAAGAGCGCCGAGAAGGGGCCCCCGGCAGCTGCGGCGATCTCCGCGGCGGCGGCGGCGGCGGCAGCGGCGGCGGCAGCCACCGGCGCGCCGGCAACTTCAAGTTCGGACAGCGGCGGCGGCGGCTGCCGGGAGGCGGCGGCGGCTGAGGAGAAGGAGCGGCGGCGGCGCCCCGAGGGCAGCAGCAGCCCCGAGTCGTCTTCCGGCCACACTGAGGACAAGGCCGGCGGCTCCAGTACGTATAAAGGCAGCGCCCTGCGCTTTATGAAAGGGGAGTTGGAAATCTAGCGCAGCACCGCTGTTAAATTTTTATATGCTGTTTTATAAGCATATAAGGTTTATGAAGGGCCTTTAGGTTTCCCCCAACAAAACTTTGTTATAAAAGGCGGGATCACGTGGCGAGTGCTGAAATTGGCCGTGAAATACCCACCGGCCAAGGCATGCCTGCAAAAAAAACCAACTCCTTTTTTCCCTTTCTCAGCTCCCAAGCCCGGCAGCTCGACCCTGCTCGGGGCCAGCTCGGGGCTGGGGAGCCGGAGGTGGGCGTCTGTAAATTCCCCCTGCAAGGGCTCCGGGAGCCTTTGATAGCGAGGTAATCCAGAGATTTTTATAAAAGCCATGTGTTGCGCCGGGACCCTAGTGTCGGCCGAGATTCAAAGGCATCGCTGTTTAACGATGGCGCTAGGAGCGTGTTGAACAGATAAAGTAGCCCGCTTAGCTCGAGCAATATATTAAAAGAAACAAATTAACCTAAAGTTGGCCTTTTTGTCCAAAGGAAGGCCATTTTCCTCCCGCGCGGTGGCAATTACGCGCCGCTTTCTGTCTAACTGCGTGTTGCTCGCAATTGTTATTCAATCTGTCAAAAGCGGATTTTAAAAAACGGCTTGTGGGGTTTTCTTTGAAAAGAGGAGCAAGCTGAACCTTCCTCCAGCTTCAGAAAGTCTCCCTTGCCTCCACCATACCTAGACAGCACTCCTGCCTTGCCTGGGGGCCCGGGTGGCTGTGTGGCAAGCAGTCTCAGGGAAGGCCCAGGGTTGGGGCCTTCCGCCGCCACCTTTCCACCTCCCGGGAGCCCGGACGCTGGCCGGGGGAGGCAGGAGCTAGTGGCCAGGGCTCAGGTTCGCTGCTGACAAAGACCCGGCAGCCTCCCCACATGTTAACGAGGGCCGAGTAGTCAAGGCCGCAACGCGGTAAGACTGGGGCTGGAGCCGGGTTTAATGCCCGGGACCCGGCCGCCTAGGTGCTGGAAGGTGATATTTCTCGGCGCGCGGCTGCTTGCTTAGTCGGGTGGGGCGGGAGGCAGCCAGCAACCCCTATTCGGCTGCTTTGAAAGCGGCTTCGGCCGAGCAAACTCGCCTGTTGCAGTGAGGAACCTTCATTTCTGCTCCGGGGGCAGCAGGAGCAGCTTCCCCGGGGACCTATTTAGGGAGCTAGCTTTTATCTGGGGCTGAGCCTCCGCCTGCAGCCTGTCTCCAGTCGGCAGTAGGAGCCTAAGTGCGGGGTGTCTGGGGAGACCTGGAGCGGGCCTGGGCAGGGGGTGCTGTCCCTGGGGCCAGAACCTTCTCCATAGTCTGGGCTCTGGGTTTGCAGCCCCCGAGCCTGGCTCACACCCTGCCTGCTTCTACCTCCACAGGTGGCCAGCGCACCCGCAAAAAGCGCTGCCCCTACACCAAGTACCAGATCCGGGAGCTGGAGCGGGAGTTCTTCTTCAGTGTCTACATCAACAAAGAGAAGCGCCTGCAGCTGTCTCGCATGCTCAACCTCACCGACCGTCAAGTCAAAATCTGGTTTCAGAACAGAAGAATGAAGGAAAAAAAAATTAACAGAGACCGTTTACAGTACTACTCCGCCAACCCTCTCCTCTAAGGCCCCAGCCGCCTGGGATGGGGTGGGGGGCTTCATATACTGAGATTATGTGCAGATTTCCCCCTTGACAAGGTCAAGCCACACAGTGACTTTTGAAGAGAGGAGGTGTGCAAAAGAGGGGAGGCTAGACGGAGACAGGCCCGCAGGAGGCGGCCTGGGACTTGCTTGGGCATTCATGATTAAGATTCCTATTACTAATTGGATCGGAAGAGTTGTGCGTCAACTAGAATGAATGGTTTGGGACCCCTGGTGGCTCACTGTTAGAGACTGCGGAGTTTGGGGCTGGGTGTGGTCTCCACCTAGGACTGGGCCACTTGCCAGGCCCCCCAGAGGCTGACCCCTGCCCAGGACCCTCCACATAGAGCCTGCCCACTCCCAGGGCCCCTGCATCAGGAAGCTTTGCACTCCTCGAACCCAGTTCAGCTCCGGGACAGGGGCAGAAGAAAGGAGGGGATCCTTGATGCCCAGAATGGGGCTGAGGAATGGCAATGAGGACTGTTTTCCAAAGCCAGTGTGAAAGGCGACTGGACTAAGAGGTGAATATGAGGTGGGGAGAGGGCTGCACAACCTCGAAGAAAAAAAATTACAATTACAGGTGGCGGTAGTGGCTCTCCACCCCACCAAGCCGTCCACTATCACAAGTCGGAGCTCCTAGCAGCCACGTTTTATGGCCCACCTGGCTTTTCTTCCTACCAGCCCAGGGTCTTGTCCTGACCTTCTACTGAGGCCTGAAGCCGGTGGGTCTCAGGGCAGACGGTTTCCAGGCAGAAGACATCGAAAAGCCAAGAGGCTGTGTCCAGACCACCGGAGTTTGCTTTCTGCAGGAAATGCCTGTGGAGAGCAGCAGTTTGGCAAAGCCTCTGCCACACTTAATTGAAACTTGGATTTGCTCAGCGTCCAGCAATGGGGCAGCAGGGCCTGACCAGCAGCCCCCGGCTATGAGGTGCTCGAGCCCCCCAAAACACCCTGTTCCAGCGCTGCACTCTGTCCTCCGCGAGCGCAGAACTGCACTTGGAAGGTTCCAGCGACCTCCCAAGACCCGAGAGTGGTTTGGATAATATTTTAAAAGATAAATATTATATTATATATATATATTTCTCTGCAGGAACCAAAGCGAATTTAAAAAGATGCAATGTAGAGGGAAACAAAAGATGATAAAAAAAATATTTAAAGGCTCTATCTGTTTACAGTGTTCCACAGTTAAGCTCACTCACTGCTAAGGATATTTGAATGTATGCTTCATACAGGGATGGTGTTCAAAGACTTGTAAATAAAGGAACCATAACCTATTTTGTTTGAATATTTTTTTTAACCATTAGTTGATTTCCTTTGGGATGTTGTCGGGGGGTGGGAAGGGGGTGGGGAATGGTCTTTTTAATCTCTTGCTACGTTTGGAAAGCGTTAGGGGGATGCTTAGAGGGAGTTGGACCGCCAGGGCCTGGGGACCTGGCAGGAAAGCCAGACACCCTCCGGTTGAATCCCCTCTGTCTCCCTGTGTTAAGAAATGTCTTGTGGCTTTGTTTGTAACGGGAATGTTGGCCTGTCCTCCACTCTCACCCACGGTGTGTGTCGTAGCATGTATACAGGCGACGGGGCACAAGGAAAATAAAGACGGTGGAAACTTGAGTGTCGGGTTCTGGTGTGACATTCCTCTCCCTGCTCACCTTTTACTGCCAAATGTCTGCCCCCCCAGCACCCCTCCCCAGTAAAGGGGCGAGTTACTAGGCCTCTGAGGGGTGGGGAGGAGACTCAGGAGGATTTAACTCCAGTAGAAGACGGACAGGAGGCCAAGGTGGCTGGCCATGTCCTTGTGGGAAGTGGGGGGCCCCAGGGACAGGGCACCTGAGGGCCTGGAATATGGGGCCTCATCCCCATCAGACTGGCCCCAGCCCTGGGACAACTTGGAAGCTGAGGCGACAGATGGGTCTGACCCCAGGCTGGGCTGGCTCACCTCAGGACTGGGAGGCCTGAAGCAAGCAGAACTACTCTGGGGTGTCCTTGGGTCGCCTTCAACAAGAGGGAGGCGGGTCTGGGTACCAAGGCAGATCAGACTCTCAGGAGCGCTTTCTCCCCAGCTCCCAGCTGAGGCGGCCTTTTCCCTTTGGGGAAAGAAAGATGCCGGTTTGTCTCTTTGTTTGCTGCCTTTGAACTTCTGCCTTAAATTTGGACATCACCCATAACCTTGAGGAGCAGGGCAGAAAGACCAGAGCCTTTTGTTGCCCACCTACCCCACCCTCTCCCTAGCCACCCAGGCAGCGAGCAGCTTGACATAGAGGGCTGCATTTGGAGAGAGGCCCCAGACCCCAGGCCCCTCTCAGTTTATCTGTTTGTGTGTTTGTCTAACTGGCGCGACTGGGGAAATCAAGCTGAAAGGGGAGTGGGACAGACCCCAAGATGAATGTCTAGGTTGATAGACACACAGAGACCAAACAAGGGCCCTCCTGGGGGGAGGGGAGGGAGCGGGCAGGGAAGACTCGGATTTAGGGAAAGACTTCCTTTGGGATGGTTAAAGATTAACCAAATTCTCATAAGTAGCTAGAGAGAGTCTAGCCAGGAGGATTGCTCGCAGGAGGACGGTGAGAGGGCGCCAGTTTGATTTCCGAGCCCAATAAAAGCCCATCCTCCGATGGCTGTGACAGTGTGGTCGTAAACCCGTCTGGGGCCGGCCAATTTGCATATTTGGAATGCGCCGCTATAAACCCGGCTGGGGTTTTGCAGCAATTTCTTAGATGTAAAAATGTGATCTCAATAGCAGCGGGCTGGGCACATTCTCTCCCTCTCTCTCCCTCTCGCTCTGCCGGGAGCTGGCTTTCCTCTCCCGGCTTGGAGCTGGATCTCCGGCTGGGCCTAGGCGCGCAGCCGCCACGAGATGGCGCACTTCCGATCAATGTCAAAGCCGCCGGGGAGCCAGGAACCCCAGCGCGATTCTTGGCCTTTGTTCGCTTCTGATACTAAGAGCAGCACGTTACATTATTTCAGTTGTCCTGCACCCCTTCGTATAAAAAAGAGGGGCTCGCCTTCAAGAAGTGGTTGGTGTGGTAATTGGAAGCAACGAGGCTTTATTAGGCCTCGCAGGCGTCGCGGCGCAGAGAAGCCAGCTGTCCCTCGGCAGTGATTTCGGAAACGTGTCAAGGTAAGAGGCCACAAGTTTAGTAATTTCAGTCTGGCTGGGGCGGGGGCGTGGAGGTGGCCGATGTCCTAGCAGGACTAGGCAACGCGGCTGAGTTTGTGCGCTTGGGGGTGACGCAGTAGGCGTTAGGACCCCCCCCCTTCTCCCATCGCCCCTAAGGTTGGAAAGCAGGGGAGGCCTGAGTGGAAAAGTTGACGATTTTAGATCCCTGTGCCAGCATCTCACCCCAAGGTGATCTTTCGATTTTGTAGAAATATTCAAAATGGAAGGAGCTGGGATGGGGGTGGGGGGTTGTCCAGGTAAGAGGATCTTGGTTGTGCTGGGAAAGGGGTTTGTAGGGGCAAAGAAAAAAAGGGGGGATGGCGGGACTGGAGAAAACAGAAAGTTTCTACTCGAAACAATGGCTCAAGCCGGCTTATTCCCCGGGGCAGACATCCGGGAGGTGGCTGGTTTGCGACTAGGTGCCTTCCCTAGGTCTGCTGGGCTGCTTGGGGGAAATCTTTGTTTCGAAAAGGTCAATTCCAGAAGGCGCGTTTTATTTTTGACTGAAGCCGCTGTTGATAAATACCTACGCATTTTCAAAAGCTAACTGATCGATCGGGCAATCACGCCATCAGGGTTTTCATAAACCAAGTTTGAAATCATCATAATTCACGTATCTTCGGGGGACTGGTTTCCAATTCTCTTCCGTATTTAATTTTATTATCCTAACCTTTTCTTCATTCCTTTCATTGAAATAGTTATTTTCTTTCCGCCATATATACAATGTATGAATGAGTGGAGGAATCCCAGAGAAAGTGGGTGCTGCCTTTGTGTGTGTGTGTGTGTATACAAATTTTGCCGACCAAAAGCCGTTGGTCTTTGTTCACGGCGGGCTCCCGAACTCTGCCAGGATAAGGCCATAGAGGAAAGAGTGGGTGCCACACGGTAAGCTGCTCTCTAGAGCTCCAGCCTTCGCAAAAGTTCCAGACAGATGCCTCCAGTTTCAAAGCTAGCAGCGGTTTATTGCAGACAGGACTAAACATATTGCAATTCAGGGAGTGCGTGAAAAGACACCCGAGAGGAAAAGGGCCAGCTCAGTGGTTTGATTTAGAAAAAAAATTTTAAAGTGTGTTGTTTAGGGATCGATTGCACCTGATCAATTCAAAGCAGACAGGCACATCAAATTTCCCTGGAAATGCCAATGTTTTTATAGATGAACGGGAAAAGAACATCATTGCTTAGGAAAATTTTTTCTATGTGAAAGTGCTGCTACTTGAATCGCAGAAGCCCTGAATTCTGGTTAAAGCCGGATATGTGGAAAGTGTTTATTTTTCTTCTACGGGGCTGCAGCACGTCACCACAGTCCACCGAATAATTCGGAGCCCCCCGAAAGCTTTGAGAGCAGCCTGCAGATCCAAATTGTTTACTGGCTATCTCAACCTCAGGGCCTAGTATTTTTTTAAAAAATAACTTTTTTCCTTTAATAACGGTTTATTATTTCTCCTCGTTTGCAAGGGCCTACTCAGAAAGAGGAACTCCCTACCATGAGCTGCAGCGTAATCCTCACCAAAGGGCTTTTTCCAAGGGCCTGGCCTTTCCTTGGCTCCGTAGTCTTGCTGGGGTGGGGGGTGGGGGAGAGTTGCCACCCAGGTAGAAATGGCTGATATTTACTCCCAATTAAAAAATTGGCCCTAGCGGCTGCCAGGTGACCGCTGCACAGGCCTGGTTGAGGCAAGCAGGCATCAAACGGCTTTAGGTCAAAGGCATTTGAGGGCTAAAGAGAAATTCAGCAGTTGGGAGGGAGGGCGGAAGGGAGAGAGGGAAAGAAAGCGAACCGGCAAGAGGGAGAGACAGTGGGCAAAAGCCGACCCACGCTACAATTGAATCG